TGAGTTGTAGCATCTCTGCCCTTTGGGAACTTACACTTTAGTTGTTTGTATTCTGTATCATTTTACAGACTTTGTCACAAATATTTTAAGAATTCCAGAAATTAAGATTGGGGAATAGAGATAATTGTCTCACTGTGTCTTATCAAATTAATTGAGGGGGTAATCTTCAGTGAATTTCTTTATAAAACAGTTCCATGGACATGAGTTGTTGAATATGAAGTATCTAAATGAAGTAATTCCCATAACTAACACCTAAAAAATGCAGCAATAGTAAATTTTTAATAAAGTGGTTGGTAGGACTATGCTCTGTTCTTGTTTTATCTCTGGTACTTATTTTGCTTCAATTTTTCAATCTTTATTTAAAAAATAATTTACTGAAATAATTTTACTAAGACATTTATGCTCATGCAGCCAATACAGAAGAATATTTGTTGAAAAATAAAAGTTCTCGAACATACCTCAACATCATAAAGGCCATCTATGACAAGCCAACAGCCAGTATAATTCTCAATGGTGAAAAGCTGAAATCAATTCCATTAAGATCTGGAACAAGACAAGGATGTCCACTCTCACCACTGCTTTTCAATATAATACTGGAAGTCCTAGCCAGAGCAATAAGACAAGAGAAAGACATCCAAGGAATCCAAATAGGAAAAGAAGAAGTCAAACTATCACTATTTGCAGATGATATGATAATATACATAGAGAAACCCAAAATCTCCACAGAAAAACTAATTCAACTCATCAGTCAGTTCAGTAAAGTGGCAGGATACAAAATCAACATGCAAAAGTCAGTAGCCTTCCTATACACAAACAATAAATCTGAAGAAGAAGAAATAAAAAAAACCACCCCTTTTATTATTGAAACAAAAAAATCAAATATTTGGGAATAAATCTAACAAAAGAGGTAAAGGACCTATACAAAGAAAACTATAAAACACTGTTAAAAGAAATAGAAGAAGACACAAAGAAATGGAAAGACATCCCCTGCTCATGGATTGGAAGAATAAACATTATTAAAATGGCCATCCTACCAAAAGCAATATACAGATTCAATGCTATTCCAATCAAAATCTCAATGGCATTCTTCAAAGAAATAGAACAATTATTGATGAAATTCATATGGAATCACCAAAAACCCCGAATAGCCAAAGCTCTACTGAAAAAAAAAGAAGGAAATGGAGGCATCAAACTCCCAGACTTCAAACTATACTACAAAGCCATAATCATCAAAACTGCATGGTATTGGAACAAGAACAGACATACAGACCAATGGAATCGAATAGAAAATCCAGAAATAAACCCACAGATTTATGGTCAACTAATCTTTGACAAAGGAGCAAAGACTATGCATTGGAGCAAAGAAAGTTTGTTCAATAAATGGAGCTGGGAAAACTGGGTCGCTACATGCAAAAGAATGAAGCTTGACCACTACCTCACACCATACACAAAAATCAACTCAAAATGGATTAAAGAACTAGACATAAGACCTGAAACCATAAAATACATAGAAGGAAATATAGGCGAAACACTACGGGATTTGCACATCAAAGACATCTTTACAGACACATCACCCAAAGCAGTGATAGTGAAGAGAAAGATAAACAGCTGGGACTACATCAAATTAAAGAGCTTCTGCACAGCAAAAGAGACAATAACAAAAACAAAGAGAAACCCCACCAACTGGGAGAACATTTTTGCACCCAACACTAGTGATAAAGGACTGATCACAAAATCTGCAAAGAGCTGATGAGACTCAGCAACAACAAAGAAAATAATCCAGTCAAAAAATGGGCAGAAGAGCTAAAAAGAAACTTCTCTGAAGAGGAAATGCAAATGGCCAACAGACATATGAAAAAATGTTCAACATCACTTGTAATCAGGGAAATGCAAATCAAAACTACCATGAGATACCATCTCACACCAGTGAGAATGGCACATATTAAAAAAACTAGCAACAACAAATGTTGGCGAGGGTGTGGAGAAAAAGGAACTCTTCTGCACTGTTAGTGGGAGTGCAAACTGGTCCAACCACTATGGAGAGCTGTGTGGAGATTTCTGGACCTACTAAACATAGAGCTTCCATATGATCCAGCAATTCCACTCCTAGGTATTTACCCAAAGGACACAGAAACATCAATTCCAAAGAGTACCTGCACCCCTATGTTTATAGCAGCACTGTTTACAATAGCTAAGCTTTGGAAACAACCCAAATGCCCAAAAGTAGATGACTGGATCAAGAAGATATGGTGAAAGGTAGCAGGAGAGACAGGGAGCATGCCAAAATACAAGAGTTTTGGAAGTAATTGGGACAAAAGGGTCCACTATTTGAAATACAAAAAATAAAGAAAGAAAACCAACATACCCACAATACAAGAAGAGTATTTCCCAAGGTTCAGCTATTTACATATCAACGTTTTTGTAATTTTTGCTTTACAAGTATCATTAATATTTTTCTGAATAGTATTTGCCTAGCTTGTATAACATTAACAGTTTTCTTTAAATAAACTCACTTTTAAAAATAAAAAAAAAAAAAAAAAAAGAAGATATGGTACATATATACCATGCAATATTACTCAGCATTCAAAAAAGATAAACACATGCAATTTGCAGCAACATGGATGGCGCTGGAAGGGATCATGCTCAGCGAAATAAGCCAAAAAGAAAAAGAAAAATACCGGATGATCTCACTCATAGCAGGAATCTAGAAAACTTAAATAAGGGACCAGGAAAATGAATATAAGAAAGTGAAAATCAAAATCAACAAAAAACTATGAACCAGAGACACTTTTTGGGGGGTGGGGGGCGGGAGGGGAAGGATTGAGGTCAGAATGGGGCGTTTGCAATTGTATGGAGGAATATAAAAATAAAATTTAAGATTAAAAAAAATAAAAAAAAATAATCTTCTTCCTCCATCAAAATTATTTCCCTTGCTCTTCATTGTATCACCAAAGGATGTGTCATGAAATGTATAATTAAAACATGATTTTAATTTTGAAAAAAAAAAAAAAAAAGAAAAAGAAAAGTTCTCCTTCTTTCCTAGACTCCTTATCCCAAACCATTGCTGCTCATATATGTGGCAGCTTTAATATATTTAATATATTTAGTATATTTTCCCCAAATTATCTAAATGCATTTAGTAGTTACATACACACATATATATACACAAACACACAGAGATATGTATGTTTATCTGCAACTATACTTACCTGTATACCTTTGTAAATATAGATTCATAATATTTTCAACCTGGAGTGATTCAATAAAATAGAGCAAAGCCCAGGACAATCACAACAGATGTCTTGGCTATTTCTTGCTGTGCTGAGGTTAACCAGATGGTCTCAGGAGAGAGAAGGTATTTGGGAGTCTTGGGCCGCAGTGATTACCAACAGATAAAGAATTATTTCAGCATTTTCACCACTAGTTTTTCCAACACTTTGCTTAAAATCAAGAGTTCTTCCAATTTTCAATTATTTGATGATTCATGATTCTCTTCTCATTATACATACCCCCACATCTGTAAAGATCTCAGAAGACCTGCATTAGATTCATTTGTATTATTCCTTCTACAACAAACAGTATTTCTTATTTTTGTATTCAATTTCTTAAGTTTACCATAAATACCTTATATGTATTAATGAAGTCCTCACATGAAAACTATGAAGCAGATAAAGCTATTTCTGGAATATTCCTTTCAGGATTCCCTCTGCGACATGGCAGATACTTTAATCCTATTTTAATGGGTCTGTTCTCATAGTTTTACCCTTCTTGTGATCCTTATCACCCAGAGCTTTTAGCTGGAATGGTTGCCATGTCTCAGTGTATTTACTGAAAAAGACATAGCATGTTACTTTAATAGTAGTACATTTTTTGATATATCTCATTATTATAATATATTATAAACTCAGGGGTGGTGGAACTGTAATTTTAACTAACTTATATCTTCCTTTTTACCCATGGCATTGCATATAAATGTCACTTAACAATGCTTGTGCATTATTATTTGGGAGTTTGCACCACATCAATAAAAAGCACATACACACTATCTGAAACATCAAGTATATCTTTTTTTATATCATCAAGATTTATGTAGATTTGGAAATAGATGACTGCCATATTACCCTTAGTTGCTACTCTACCGATTTACATTAAATTGATGCTTTTCTTTATCTACCACCCATCCTTTTTGCACATATTTACCTCTTGCACAGAAGATGATAGAACCCTTCATTTAACATGTTCCAGTTTCTAACAGTTTTATTTATGTACTAGAACTTCTCCATTGTTTTCTTTGTGGGGATGTAAAGGAATTGAGATTTATTGTGTATTCACTGCCAAGTCGTTTGCCAGGAACTTTGCTTCCATTATCTTATTTCAGTTATATCAATAGTATACTTATTATTAGCCTTAATTTGCAGAAGAGGAAGCAAAAAGTTGGGAGAAAGAAGATTCTTTTTCTGGAGTTCACATAAATGCTGGGATCCCAATTTTATAACAGAATTGTGCCTCCAGGGCTCCAAGTTATGTTTCTGTGTCATGCTAACTATGTCTCAATGTACTTTTCTGAGAACTAGATGACATAGGTAAGCATGTTTTCTAAACTAGCAAGCATTATTCATATACGGAAATTCTAACACATACCTTATGCTCCCTAACACAGTAAGGGAAGTGAATGGATATGTAGCGAATGCTTTAGGTGATGATGATTATGATGGAAGTTTAAAAATTAGGTGAAAAGATGTCAATGACTTGTTAAAGAACTAAAATCCAATCTTCACCCATTTCTTTTAAAGCTACCGCTGTCAAATGAAATATCTCATGTTAGCCAAAAGTTATTAAATATGAACATGTAACAGGAAAATCATTTCAGGGAACATAATGGAGTAATGGAATAAAAGCTGAAATAACATCTATGGTAGCAGTAAGCCTTATCATTGACATAAAATGGTGAGAATACTTTGGAATTCAAAGTTACACAGGTTGTTGTCACTGTCTCCCAGGTGTTCCAGATTGCCTATGTGATCGTGAAAGCTGCCAACTCCCCTCGACCTGGAAACTGGATTTTGGAACGCTCGCTTGATGATGTTGAATATAAGCCTTGGCAGTATCATGCTGTGACGGACACAGAGTGCCTAACCCTCTACAATATTCATCCCCGCACTGGACCTCCGTCCTATGCCAAAGACGATGAGGTCATCTGCACTTCATTTTATTCCAAGATACACCCCTTGGAAAATGGAGAGGTAAGATGAGAGAACTCACTGTAAGTACATTTAAGATGGCAAAATAGGCCTGTCAGAAAGACTTGAATATATCAGTAATTAATGTCAGGGAGATTTTAAAATGGGATTTAGCAGAAGTACATTTAGATGAGTTATTAAATAAAAAGGAAAAACCCAAGGTGATTAGAATGTTAACTACCTTCATCTAGTATGTGTCTCCCATCTCAATAAAGATCAGAGGAGAGGAAATGGGTTTAACTTGGAAAGTCAATGATTAATTTAACATATAAAGAGAACTTTTCTGACAATGAGGATTGGTAATAATTGGAGAAGGATTGAGTCCTTCAAAGAAGCCTTAGCTCTCTGTGTACTCTGGTCTGAAGGTGGGGAAAAAAGAAGTGGATTTGGGAAGAAATATAATTCACACAGAGGGCCTAAATAAAAGGCAATTCTGTCAGTTTTTACTTGTTTTTCTACTGTCAGCACATAGGATTACAGTGGGGTTTCTTCCTTTTGCTCATACCTTGCTTAGTTTATATTTAATTATAAGTTTAATTCAAAGCTACTCTGTTTCCTTATGGTACCTTCTATTCTGTGCTTAAGATTTTCGATTCATTCATTGATTTTAAGCTACAGATTCAAAGCATGTCTTGTTATCAGCTGTGTGGTCTTAAGCTGGTGACTTAAATTCTCCTGCCTCAGTTTTGTCTGCATAACTTCAAACGAGAACAATAGTTCTTATTACTTATGATTGACAATAAGATTAAGTAAATTTTGATATTTTGAATATTAGAGCAGTGATGCTTGACATATATACACTATGTTCTATAAACATTAACTGTTTCTGTTGCTGCTACTATAATAACAATAGTTTATACAATAATAACTGGTGTTATTATTGTTATTATTAGTAGTATTTTCTCAAATACCTAAACCTTGTCTTAGTAACTTGGATTCTCTAAATATATTTCCCTAATCTGTCTTCCTTGTGTATGTGAGACCTACCTCCTCTTGGTCTAACTGCTTACATACATCTCTGTTTATGACATGTCTATTATTGTCTTCTCACTAACATTTTTATATTCACATTTCCAGAAATCTCATATTCATCTTCTATCATGCTAACCATTGTCAGACTAGGCTTATCTCTTTAAACACCATGGGAGGAAAATTAGATTTTTGACATAAATCACTGTCCCTTTGGCAATATTATTATATGAATGTATACCTGTACCTCACTATATTTCAAATTCCATGTTCAGTTTTGGGGAAAAAATTCAAGTGGTGTCTCAGCAGAGATCTCAATCAGCCAAATGACAAGGAGTCAAATGCAGTGAGTCAAACAGCTGTTCAACCTGCCTTGTGCCCAGAGACTTTCTGTTCCTGGCCAGATTGGCCTGAGGATATAGAGAAGGGAGGGAGAACAGAGACAATATATTTGAGTATAATTTTTTATTGTTTTTCTTCTGAATCTTCTATTTACCCAAACTAATAATTATCTTATATTTATAAAGCTATTCTTTACCTTTAAAAAACAGTCCAGAAATTAGTTGAATAGCATAAAATATACCTAGGTAGACAGTAACATGCCAGTCATACAAATCCACAAAGCATATCCCCTTCATTAATGGTGGTTCTCTATGCTTTAGACCAAATCAACTTGCAATATGGAAGAGATAGACATGTTTGTTGCTTGTTGAACTGGTTACATTGATTTCACTTCTATACATTCACTAAAAACCACTCAATGATGGTGACTAATAAGAACAACTTATTCACCTTTCTCATGTGACATGTTCCCTTAAGTCTATTTCTCACTCATAAGCCAATGGAAGTGAAGAATAGAAAATAATACAAAATATTTGAAATAGAATGATAATACTGTGAATGAGAATTAAATTCAGACATTTCCTAGCTATCTCTCTCCTTCTCTGTAGCTTATACGGTGAAGCATGTTACTTTTGGGGAGAGATGGGTCTAAAGAAGTTAGGCGACATTTTTCAAGACTCCCTGCTCAGTTGATGACAGGTTCTATGATTTCTACATTAATGTTTCTTCTTTAGTAAAGGCCAAAAAAGTTGATTGTTTTTAAAGTTGGTAATTGCTAAACTCAAAATGACTTAAAGGTGAAAGATCTAGTATAAGTAAAGAATCCTAATTCTGAGATGTGGGATATCCCAAAGAAGAATGTCATAGAATTAGAAGACCTGAGTTCTTCCTGCCTCTAGTCTTTGTGAAGCCTTGAGGAAGTTGCAGTCTCTCTGATACTGAATTTCTTTAATACGTGAATCAGTTTGATAATGTAAATTGTCCTATGGTATCTTTCTGTTTTATAATAATATAGTTTTGAATATCAACTATACTATAACATGTCTAAATATTCTAAAAGTTTGGATCATTGTTTCCAATATTTTCCAAACAATAACTATCAAATAAATCTTTGTATCATTAACTTTTAATTTTAAAATGCTGCATTTTTGTATATTTTTGTACCTAAATTTATTATATGCTTATGTTCAAAATTCCCCAGACATGTGGTCAAGTAAGAGAAATAAACAGTTAAACCAATAAATGTACAATGATAGTAAAAACATTTACAACGGAAGTGTGTACAGAAAATGGTAAATGCTGCCTAGGTGAGCAGAAGGAGCCACATAGGGATGCATATAAAGAAACCAACAATACCTATTAGTATCTCAAAAGTTTGAAGGCAAATATGCAAATTCATCTTTAGTTAAAAAGGGCAAATAACTGAATTTTACCTCCATTGCTGAATGATAATTTTATTGGGTATAGAAATGTAGGTTCTTTTTTTTTTGTGCCACATTTTATTGTTTTCTGTTTCTATTGTTCATGTAGAGAAGGTAGCTGTTAAATTATTGTATTCTATTTCTTTTTTTTTTTTTTTTTTTTTTTAATATTAAATTTTATTTTTATATTCCCCCATACAATTGCAAACGCCCCATTCTAACCCCAATCCTTCCCCACCCGCCCCCACCCCCAACAAGTGTCTCTGGTTCATAGTTTTTTGTTGATTTTGATTTTCACTTTCTTATATTCATTTTCCTGGTCCCTTATTTAAGTTTTCTAGATTCCTGCTATGAGTGAGACCATCCGGTATTTTTCTTTTTCTTTTTGGCTTATTTCGCTGAGCATGATCCTTCCAGTGCCATCCATGTTGCTGCAAATTGCATGTGTTTATCTTTTTTGAATGCTGAGTAATATTCCATGGTATATATGTACCACATCTTCTTGATCCAGTCATCTATTTTTGGGCATTTGGGTTGTTTCCAAAGCTTAGCTATTGTAAACAGTGCTGCTATAAACATAGGAGTGCAGGTGCTCTTTGGAATTGATGTTTCTGTGTCCTTTGGGTAAATACCTAGGAGTGGAATTGCTGGATCATATGGAAGCTCTATGTTTAGTAGGTCCAGAAATCTCCACACAGCTCTCCATAGTGGTTGGACCAGTTTGCACTCCCACCAACAGTGCACAAGAGTTCCTTTTCTCCACATCCTCGCCAACATTTGTTGTTGCTAGTTTTTTTAATATGTGCCATTCTCACTGGTGTGAGATGGTATCTCATGGTAGTTTTGATTTGCATTTCCCTGATTACAAGTGATGTTGAACATTTTTTCATATGTCTGTTGGCCATTTGCATTTCCTCTTCAGAGAAGTTTCTTTTTAGCTCTTCTGCCCATTTTTTGACTGGATTATTTTCTTTGTTGTTGCTGAGTCTCATCAGCTCTTTGCAGATTTTTGTGATCAGTCCTTTATCACTAGTGTTGGGTGCAAAAATGTTCTCCCAGTTGGTGGGGTTTCTCTTTGTTTTTGTTATTGTCTCTTTTGCTGTGCAGAAGCTCTTTAATTTGATGTAGTCCCAGCTGTTTATCTTTCTCTTCACTATCACTGCTTTGGGTGATGTGTCTGTAAAGATGTCTTTGATGTGCAAATCCCGTAGTGTTTCGCCTATATTTCCTTCTATGTATTTATGGTTTCAGGTCTTATGTCTAGTTCTTTAATCCATTTTGAGTTGATTTTTGTGTATGGTGTGAGGTAGTGGTCAAGCTTCATTCTTTTGCATGTAGCGACCCAGTTTTCCCAGCACCATTTATTGAACAAACTTTCTTTGCTCCAATGCATAGTCTTTGCTCCTTTGTCAAAGATTAGTTGACCATAAATCTGTGGGTTTATTTCTGGATTTTCTATTCGATTCCATTGGTCTGTATGTCTGTTCTTGTTCCAATACCATGCAGTTTTGATGATTATGGCTTTGTAGTATAGTTTGAAGTCTGGGAGTGTGATGCCTCCATTTCCTTTTTTTTTTCAGTAGAGCTTTGGCTATTCGGGGCTTTTGGTGATTCCATATGAATTTCATCAATAATTGTTCTATTTCTTTGAAGAATGCCATTGAGATTTTGATTGGAATAGCATTGAATCTGTATATTGCTTTTGGTAGGATGGCCATTTTAATAATGTTTATTCTTCCAATCCATGAGCAGGGGATGTCTTTCCATTTCTTTGTGTCTTCTTCTATTTCTTTTAACAGTGTTTTATAGTTTTCTTTGTATAGGTCCTTTACCTCTTTTGTTAGATTTATTCCCAAATATTTGATTTTTTTTGTTTCGATAATAAAAGGGGTGGTTTTTTGATTTCTTCTTCTTCAGATTTATTGTTTGTGTATAGGAAGGCTACTGACTTTTGCGTGTTGATTTTGTATCCTGCCACTTTACTGAATTGATTGATGAGTTGAATTAGTTTTTCTGTGGAGATTTTGGGGTTCTCTATGTATATTATCATATCATCTGCAAATAGTGATAGTTTGACTTCTTCTTTTCCTATTTGGATTCCTTGGATGTCTTTCTCTTGTCTTATTGCTCTGGCTAGGACTTCCAGTATTATATTGAAAAGCAGTGGTGAGAGTGGACATCCTTGTCTTGTTCCAGATCTTAATGGAATTGCTTTCAGCTTTTCACCATTGAGAATGATACTGGCTGTTGGCTTGTCATAGATGGCCTTTA